TTATGATTGGAATATATACATATTTATACACATACACACACACACACACACATATGCCATCCTAAGAAGTTTGCTTTCTCCTATATTCCCAAGGAAATGTATCTGTGGGTGATACGTTTGCTGTATATACAGCATGTGCACCAAGAAAGGAGAGATAAAGGTCTTGGTTTCTTGTATTATCTTTGATGACCTGGTGGTTTGTACTATGACATGACTTGTAATCACAGAAATCTCATGTCTGTCCCTTTAGATAATGTCATGGCACGTGTGTGCGCGTGTTTGTGTGTGTGTATGTCTGTGTGCGCGCGTGTGAGTGCACGTGCGTGTGCGTGTGTATGTGTGTGTGTGTATAGTTGCACACACACGCATGTGTAGAGGCCCAGGGTTAATTGTGTATCTTTGTCTACTCACCTAATCCAGAGCTCAGCAGTTATGCTAGGCTTTCTGTCCAACTACTTCCATGTATCTTCTTGCTTTCAGTTTCTACCACTGAGGTGAAGGACACACATCCATGATTTACCTCTTTATATGTGTGCATGGGACCCTAACCTAAGCCCTCAGGTTTATGTGGTAAACACTCTACTAAGTCATTTTTCCAGCCCACGATAATTTAATTGTTTTATTCTATATTAATTTGATGTGCAAATAATATTTTTATATAAAGGTATAATAAAAATAGATGTTTTCATTTAAGCTATTTTCTCAGTTGGACATCCTATATCTTCAAGCAGTTTTCTCAAGAAAGTTTTGTGTGTAGCATTTTATAAGATCCGTCATATTTAAGCATGCTATCTTCATCACCTTCATTCATAAGAAACTTCATAATGTGGCCCTAAATAATAATGGAGGTCACTGACTTCTTCTCTCCAGAAATCACAGAACAGCATTGCACTGGGTCTTTACACCCAATCCTGCAAAACAGTGTAGGGCTATAGCCTGCTTCAGCATATACCTCAAGCAGCAAAACTGTAGACTCTGGAACCTGTGTGTGTTGCTTGCAAACTTTCTCACACACTGTGCTCCCAAAGAATAGTTAACATCATTTAGCTGTTTCCAGCTCTCTGCAATTCCAACACCATTGTTGTGTTCCTATTTGACTTTCCATACCTTTTTCTAGCATCAAGGAAGGGAGTATCACAATCATCCCCCAAGTGGCTAACATGACACTCGGGGTCATGTCTTCTCTACAGGCACTGTGAGTTTAATTTGGCTATTAGATCTTTGCATCTCAGTATTTCCTCCATTATCGGGCTCCTGGCCTTTTTCCCTTTCCATGGTCTTCTCTTGGGGGAGGAAGGTGGTCACTGACTGCTTCCTTGTAAACTTATCTCCTCATATTGTGAAGATGGCTGGTTCACTTTACTATGATTGTTATCCTGTTTCCCTTTTAGTCTTCTGATTTTTTCTTTTTCTTTACAGCATTTTAAAGGTTCATTGTTGAATCTTTGGCAAGTTCAAACACTGGGTGATGTATATAGAAATGGTACAGGAGCAGCAAAACGTTTACAGAGCAGGCCAGAGTCTCACTGTCCTAATGCAGTTTTCAAACATCTATCAGGTTTTGAACAGTTCAGTTCCCTAAGATTGAAATATGATTTCCTACTCTGAAAAATCCTAGTTCCTAGGTCTAGCACAAGCCTTGGGACTACACCCATACTTTCCACCAGCTTTCTGCTCATGTGTGCTATGGAAGGCAAAGATAAAGCAAAAGACAGGGTCAGGAAAGGAGTATGTGTTGAGATTGTAAAGGGAAAATAAAAAGTCAACTGTGGGACAATGGACCACGCCATACTTGGTAGAATAGAGAGTCTGAAACCCCGGTATCCAGGTACCCACCTGAGCCAGTAGGTACCTCTCTGCTCCCTACTAGATTCTGGGCCTGAAACACGCATCCACACTCCCCCCGCCCCCACGTTGGTCACGTAGCCCAAAACAAAGTTCTCCATGCTAATGCGGTATCTAGAAGCCCTGAGGGTTTAATCCAATAAGCCTCCTTTCCCAGACATTCCTTGCTGCAAAAGATATTTAATCTCTGGTCCACCGTCAAAAGTTGGTATGCATCCATTTTCCACGATGAACAGTCAACAAATGATATGGATAAACATGGACTGTTTCGTCCATTTAGAGCTGCTGTGGGGAGCATGGAGAAAGCCTTCGACTACCAAGCAGCTGCCTAAGTCTCCCGCAGAAGACTGCTCCCAGACTGCTCCCAGACAACCACTGGCAAGCTAAAGACAATCCCGCCAATGAGCTAAGCCAGAGCTCCCATTTCCCTGGCCCTGGGTTCCTCATTGCCCTCAGTCAGTTCCTAACTCGTCTTAATCCAGCAGCACATGGATGTCCAGGAGTTTGGAAACACTCTGTCCCAGTATCGTCATGGCCTGTGGACCCTGACACTTCAATTCTCGACTTCTCTTTGCAGTTTTCCACCTGTGACTGGAAGTGTGGGATTCGGGGAACCCCAACTTCAGCCTCCTGGATCTAGTCTGCATTTTCCCACCTCCCGTGTGGTGCTAGGCACTTTGCTGGTAGCTCAGCATCAGGACAGTGGAGACACAGGGTCAACTCAGTCAAACGATTCAAGTTTCGCTTCCCCAGAAGCTGTGCCCAGCACCTCAGTGGCAGAGCTGGATGTGGACTGGCTTTGTACCACACTAACTCAACAGATTTCTTATTCCCTTCCTCGCTGTTGCTTCTGATTTTCTACCAGTGAATACAGCTGTGCAGAGCAGTATTTGGGAAGAGACAGCAGACAGAAAGCAAAGGTTGGAGACAAAGGCAGATAGGAAGAGGAGCAGCTCTTTGACCTAGAGGATGTCTTGAGTAGACTAAGAGAGATATGAGAGAGATATCCCCAAATCGCTCTAAAATAAGTTATACCAAATATGGAACATAGCACAATTATATATTAATATGAGAATAGATTTCCATGTGTTATGAAATACCTTCATTGTGCAGTGTCTGTGCCTTTAGTTATTTTCCTGTGGTTTGGGGACTAAGTTCGATGGAGCCCCTTTGTTGCAGTTTTGGGTTTATGTCTAGTCATTGCCTCTTACATCGGCTCCACTGAGGAAATCTTTGTACTTCCCAGCTGAGTGATGGTTCAGGTCCTGCCTGGTATGTCTGTGCTTTGTGGCTTTCTCCCTTGTACATGTATGTAGCTGGGTCTTCCATAGGCTATGTAGTTTCTTGGCCATGATACAGTTTTTCTTGGCCTGAATCCATCTTGCAAGCTGATTTCTGGGTCCTGGTTTTCTTCATTCACCCACCCTAAATGCCCATGTCTTCTATATTCCTTCAACCACTGTTATTCTAGACCTACACCAGTCTAGTCCAGGACCCTCCCTAAGTTTTCATGAATTTCAGTTTCTGTTAATACTTCTCCTTAGTTAATAAACAGTAGCTGTGTATTGACTCTTAGCTTAACCAATTTTGCCAGTGCAGTACCCACCCTTCTGTGGTGCCATTTCTGGTATAGATCAATTTGGAAACTCTGGGGACTTCAGAGTCTACAAAATGGCGTGATACCATTAGTCATAGGTGTATGGTTATTGGCACAAAGCAGGAATCAAAACACAGGACATTTCATTCTCCATTGTATATTTCAGCAATAATAGAATTATATAACTATGAAACACTGCCAGCTATCTGAGATTTGGGGCCTTAAAGGTGTTTCTTATGATACAGTATTTTGCATTTTTGAAGTCATTACAGGCTCATTTAAAAGGCAGAGAAATGGATTATCTAATTAGTCATGGTTCAGAGATTCTCTTACAAACCAATAAACTCACAAATCCGTCTGTATTATTACAAAAATTGATTTGGTTTCCTTGTTAAAAAAATACTTTCAATTAACATATTTTATCAGTTATCTTAAATGGTTTTTAAATCAACAAGTGTTTAAAAGCCTCGCTAAGTTAGTCTATAGACAAAGCTTCTCTTTTTTAATTCAAATAGGAGCCAAAGAATGAGCAATCTGAAACAGATGAGGTAAAGCCATGGGTCATAGCTTGTAGTACTAGTTCACTACAAAGCTTTACAGAAGAAATGTAACCCAAGATACAAAATAGCATCATATATGAAATTGTGTGTAGTGTGTTGTACTCCTGCATTTGCACACATATAGTGTGTAGATGAACAATGGTCTATACTTGCTGTCTTCTGTAGTCACCCTCTACCTTTTATTCAGAGACAGAATTTCTTTGAGAACCTGGAACTTCACCACTGAGTGAGCTGGGATGACCAGCAAGATCCGTGGATAGTTCTATCTCTGCCTCCTCATTAGCGAGATTACAGTTTGTGCTACTTGGTTTTTTTTCACATGGGCACTGGGCACTACATTGAGGTCTTTCTGCTTTCACATAGAAACACTTAAACTGTCTGCCAAGCTTCATGGTTTTACATTTAAGATTATCTATATTAGAAACAGGAAAAGTAAAAGTAAAGAGGTAATTGAAGTCTATTTTAACTATATCTAGATGGATGACTAGATGGATGGATAGATAGATAGATAGATAGATAGATAGATAGATAGATAGATAGATAGAGATGAGAGAGAGAGAGAGAGAGATAGCGAGTGAGGATGATATTAAAGGTAATATTAAGAGAGGGAGGGAGAGCGCGCTGCAGATCCAGAATGTTAAGATCCTATCAATAGGTTGCATGAGTTGGCAGGCTCTAAGAACTCAAGACTCGTGTGCACTGTATAGTCACTGATTATCTCAATTTGCACCAGACTTATATCAAGTGATCCAGAGCAGGACTCCTGATCACCAGAGTGGTTAGTGAAGGTTTGGATTATCTTGTTATCATATGTGATGAAAAACCCCAGAAAAGTAGATCATTAACAGGTATGTGAAGTATGTGTTATGTACTCAATGTGATCATTTCTCAATTTGCGTATTTCAAAAAACATCACATGCGGTGCATGTTGAATATCTTTAATACAGCACAAAAATAAAAGACATGAGGAAATGTAAGAGATGATTAATTTCTCTTACCTACATAAGTCTTCTTTTATGTGAAGGGAAATCAATTCCTTAGGAATATGAAAAGAAAGGATGCTTTCTGACATCTGCTCACGGATTCGCATCCACTTATTGTCAGATGTGGGGAACCGATATAGTTTACACACAGGATTCCTTAACACTGGGCAAGAAGAGAGAAAAGGCAGTAGTTAAATTATTAGCAAATGAACATCACATGCAACTCAGTCAAGAAAACCATGAATCACAGAAACATTGTGTTTACCCGTTTAATAAATCAAATACTGCTTATCAAAGTCCATTAGCGAATTTGGATTTTTAAGAATTGTATTTGTTTTACATCATAACATCATATTTTAATGTTAGCTTCGGAAAGTCATACCTTTTGTTAAGTTTGATAAGTGGACCTAAAAATTCAATTAATTAATGTAACTATGGTGGTTTTTCACTACCTATTCATTTCTTTGTCTTTAAATGTTTTATGGAACATATACGCCTATAAATACAGATGGAAATACAAGTGCGTACACATAAAGTACATTTTGGAGCACATTGATGAGCCTTCCCTGGTTACTCTTAGCTTCATGTACTTAAATAAGTGGCAATATATGTTACACTAGAAATACTTAAAAATACTTTTTTTTTTTTTTTTGGTTTTTCGAGACAGGGTTTCTCTGTGTAGTCCTGGCTGTCCTGGAACTCACTCTGTAGACCAGGCTGGCCTCGAACTCAGAAATCCGCCTGCCTCTGCCTCCCAAGTGCTGGGATTAAAGGTATGCGCCACCACCACCCTGCTTAAAAATCCTTTCTTAAAAGGCCCTACTGGTAAAAATTTTCATATATCAGAAAGGTTTGTTTCCTTGGTTTAAGATCTATTAAATTCAACGTTGTACATAGTTTAAAATATCAATAAGTCAGTATCACGCTTTCCAGACTTCCAAACCCAGGTATTATCAGAAGCAAATCCTTGACATTGGAAAGGCAAACTGTTTAGAGCAGGTGGTTGGTGTTTGGAGAATATATCATACAACCAGAAGTTCAGGAACAGAGCATAATGGTTAGACATTAACATTATACTTGTTACTTTTTTATGAATTCCAAACTCACAGCACACTCCCCAATCATTCACGTATGGGCAGGACGCTCTTCCAATTTTTGCTGGACAATGATACCATTGTGACATTCATACACTAAAACTTAACGGGCAGGAAAACATCAGATATGACCAGGTAAGTATCTAGAGTGAGTCAACTCCAGCTTAGCAATAAAGCTGGGTAAAACTATTAGTTTATATTGAAGTGAATTTATCAGATTTTAAGCAATTTTGAGCATACTGTACATGGGCCATTTCGCTTTGGCATAACATGGGACAGGTCTTTCAAATCTTTAAAATTCTGTGAGAATACCATATCTTATCTGCTACTTGAGAAAAGAATTTTTTTAAAAGTCTTTCCTTAACATTGAAATGAGAATATTCTTCCCCATCCTCTGCAACCACCTATTCTCAAAGAGAAACTCAGAACGCCATCCTTATGAATATGTATATAACTTATCACAAGCTTTATTCCAAATGTCATTACTTTGTGCGCATGCAATATGTGTTATATGTGTATGTGTGTGCAATGAGTACACCTGTACATATGCTCTCAGAATCCAGAAGAGGACATCAGACATCCTATTCTATTGATCACTGCCTTATTTGATGGAAACAGTGTCTCTTACTGAACCTCACAATAAGTTAGGAGGGAGTGAGCCCCCAGCATTCTATTTCTCCTCCTACTTCCCAGAACTGGCCATGCAGAGACATGGCTATATCTGGCCTTGTATTTAAATGCTGGGGTCTGAACTTAGTTTCTCAAGCTTGGACAGTGAGTAGTATTCTTATCCATTGACAGAGCCCTGCATTCTCCAAATATCTCATTTTCAAATCGACAAAATAATGTCTTCTAAAAATACTACTATACCCAGGCCAAGAATTAGACAGAAAATCCATTTTCTACCAAAACTGACAAAGTCATGAAGCAGCAGCGTCTTTCCAGCAGAATGAGAAAATAACTTAAAATCTAGAAATGTATCCTCAAAGAGAATATCATTGGGATATTTTCATTATTATTTTAAGTTTTGTCAATTTGATTATATTACAAATACTCATAGTTTACTATATTTTTATCTGAAAGAAGAATGCGAGAACTTATAGCCAGAAACTACATGATCTCATTCATTATTGAAGTAAGAGTGTTTCAGAGATTAAAAAAAAAAATTCTAACACTTCTATCAGCTTATGTCTAAGACTTAGGAAAGAAAAAAGAACATGTACTAAATTCAATACCACTCGGGTTTAATTTCACCTGGCAAGATCTTATAAGTTCTTATATACAAACTGAGTTTAGAAATGTGATGTATCTTCTTCTTTCTGGTAAAACAAAACCTTGGTATCTGAATGTCTAAAATATTTCCTAGTAATGTATGAAAATGTTAATCACTTGGTTATTATGCAAGCACTTCATGTGCTTCAAACTCCCCTCTCAGAATTATGAAGCTGCCTCGCAAACCCATAGGCCCCTTGGATATTTCTTGCCCTTTAAAGATCAGTAATTATTTTTTTCATAAAGTTTAGATTTTGAGTTCTGTCAGAAAACATGAAGCAAAGTTCTCCACTGTCTCTGCTGAGCCCCAAACAAGTCCTTCATCTTTTGAACTTTCTTTATTTGAGTTTTTTTCATTTCAATGTTCATCATGTTTTCTAAATATAAACCTATGCTGAAAAAATTTTAAGCAGAAAACAAGGACATTTTGATTACTGAGAAGTAGAGAAAATCTCTGATCATTGTGCACACACTATCCACAGAGTTAACAGAGCTGCAGATGGTTTTGCAGGGACCCTGTAACAACAACAACAACAACAAAATATGCATGCACACACACACACACAAACATGCACATATACACACATGTACATAAAGATACACATACACCACACACACAAACATATGCAGACATATATACACACAACACAAGCAAATAAATATACATCAAACACAAACATATATACAACTCATACTTGTGATACACACACAAACATATACACATAACAAAACCACACACATTTATAGAAAGACATATATACAAACACATATACAACATACACATGCACAAACATACATAACACACACATACATATACACACACCACACATACATATAAATGCATCCCACACTCATATATATGAACACACACACAAACACACATATAATATACGCATACACACAATTATATGTACAAGCACACAGAAAACACACATTCACACAAACACATAGAAAACACAAATGTGCACACAAGTACATGTAACACATATGCAAACTCACACTATGCACACAGCATACATATACACAAACATACGTAGAATATACTCATACACACACACACACACACAATTCTGGCAAGTCACTAATGAAAGAAAATGGCTCCATGAATGTCTCCTATCTAATTTTTATAGCTGGCTGCTGAAATTTGAGACTCAGGTTTCCCAAAGCAAAATCAAACTATATATTTGCCAATCTCAGAACACTGATGTAATGTGTTAAGTTTTACATCTGGAATGTCTTTCAAAGTCTCCCTTAAAGACTAGGTTGCCAGCCTGTGGTTCTGTGGAAAGATGGCAAAATCACTGATGGTACCTCCTAAAAACTCTTAGTCACACGTCCCCTGATTCTCTGCTTTCTGACTACAAGGAGTTGAGCCACTTTGCTCCATCATACACTTCTCACTATAATCTGTCTTCCCACAGGCCCAATAATATTGAAGCCAGTTGATTATGTCAAAATAAAGTTCAGTTGCTCAGGTATTTTGTCACAGGGACAAGATCCTCTTTGCAATTCAACTTAATGCAACAGCTTTCCTTTATATTACATCTCAGGCAAGGATACCTTCTATCTATCATAGAATACCACACAACAGATCATGAGTTTGAGCCTAGCCCTGTAGAAACTTGATGTGTTATTTAGGGGGATACCCAGGGGTTCTCCACCCTCTCAGAGGAGAAAGGGAGGGGATGGAAGAGGAACTGTGTGAGGTGGAACTGGTAGTGGGGCATTGATCAGGGTGTAAAGTAAATAAACAAATTATTTAATAGAGAAATTAGAGATAGATAGATAGATAGATAGATAGATAGATAGATAGATAGATGATAAATAGAAAGATAGATAGGACCTGATTTTTAACCATCATGATCACATTCTATGCAATCAAAACAAAGCAAAATACTGAACTGAGTTGTTTGCTGTGTTGATGATGGCAGTCTTCATATCCTCACATAAAAAAAAGCAAGGTGATAGTTGCATCAGACATAGTGGATCCTAACGCTGAGTGTGTCTACCAACTCTTTTTCCATCCATCCTACAAGCACTAACTTGTAAATGAAAGCATGACTATGACCTTGAACTGCAAGTTCCCATTATGCCTTTTGTTTATGCTTTTTTTGACTGTGCAACAGGTTTACACCCTTAATAAAAGTGCATGATATGTAAGCCCCTCAAGGCTTTTGAGTGGCTACAGCTCTCTCCTGCGGACCTCCAACCACCAGGTTCCACTCACAGAACACTCTAACTGCTCTAATGGCTGGACCCAGCCCCTGCTTCACAAAGTAAAAAGCCTCAAGCTCTGAACTTAAAATTCCGTCAATCCCTTCAGTCTCTGGACTCATTCCAAGCTCGGGACTTGAAACCCCAACAATATCCACCCTGAAAGTCTCCAACTTAGAAAGCTCTGCCCCACCTCCAACCCCAAGAAACCCTATATAAACCCTGTGTTTTGCTTAGCTCTCTGCTGCTGCTTGCCCAAGCATAGGTAGCCATCCTCCTGGAATTTTCCTTCTGATAAATTTCTTGTGTAAGATTGTTATTTGGTATGACTTTGAGATGTTTTCCTTGGTTCCAGACTGCCAGGAGACCTTTTCCTTCAGAGGTGTAACACTGTGGAAACCTCTCCCTGCATAAACACCTGAGCCCTGAAGCAAGGCTATAACACTTGGAGTGGGGAAACCGGTCCCCACACCCTGGAGCAGAGCTGTGACACTTCCATTGTGTAAGCTGTAACACTAATGCAACACCTAATATGAGACATATTTCTGTAGTGGTTTTGGCCTAAAGCTGCTTGTAGTCTAAT